AATCATGATGTTTTTCACAACTCCTCAGTGTTTTTACACACTGTGGTTTGTGTAATACAGAATGCGGGATGTAAGCAGGATGTTAGCGTTTCTCTGTAGCTTGACTCTTGCTCAACAATCTAGACACTTCACTAAAAGAAACAGTATCCTCTGAACAGTATTGAACAGAAGCCATTTTATTTCAGGAGTGACCCAACAAGCACTGTACTGACAGTTCCAAAGTCATGTTTGCTCAAGGCAGGGATGAGGACATGAGTCAGAAGGAGGAAGGAAATTAAGAAATAGAAATAACCTTTTACAATCGACCTTATCTCTTAATGTCATATAACTGCAGAAGGTTGAAATATGTTTGTATCAATTATGCCACTATAGTTTACTATCAATACTATATAACTTGATCACTGTTTAACTTTTATAATCCGTGTATCTACCGTCCAATTGTTTTTCTTTATTAAACACGTAAACGGAAGTGCGTCTGAGAGGCCTTTTTGCTTTTTGCTTTTTACCTTACTAAATGGTCAAATGGTCATTGGAGCGAGGGGCGGGGCAAAACTCACGGAAGTGATTTCAAAACAAAAGCACTCGTTTGCTAAAATCACACTTTGAATCACTACAGTATCCTGCTGAAGGACCGGTGATTATTATAAACAGGGGGAATTTAGGGATCACAACGGAAACGGCCGGCCAAGACACATATTGAGCCCAGCAAATTAATGTTATTAAGGGCTGTAAATATAATAAGCCTCTGTCTAAAATTTACAACATTGTAGGAGATTTAAACTATACAGCGGTTCTGCACTGCGGTTACTCAGCCGTCTCTCGAGTTTGTTTTTTCAAATCAGCTGCTCTTCATTATTCCTGCTATATTTGAGTTCTTAAGGAAAGTGACACTGTTGGACTCGGTTCTAGTTTGACTTTTTCCTCTGTCAAAGTCCCCTCCATAGTTTTCCATGTTTTTCTGCTATATTTGATGAATGATACAAATATAATTTCACCATTAGTTCTTAATGAAATTGATACTGTTTGACTTTGTATTAGCCTACTACTTACAATACATTGTAGTACTTTTAATGTGTATTTATTGAGAAATACTCTGTCAAAGTCCCCTGCAGAGAACAAAATCAAGCCACTTCTGCTAAGTTTGATGAGGGAATTCTTTTTTGTTGCCATTAGTTCTTCGTGAGATTGATCCTGTTNAAAAGTATCGAATACCATCGCGAGCACATAATGTTAAATATCCCGCCTTATTTTCAATTTTACGAAAACGGGCAACATACTGGAACTGCAGCGTAAGCATATCTGCTCACAGGTGGTACTTGTACAGGGAGGGGGAGTAATCCAGGTAAAGGAGTGAACAAAGCAAACGAAAAAGACGAAGAGGGAACGAAGAGAGACCGGCGGAATGGAGAGAGACCGAAGAATAATAAACCGGCGGTGAAGACAAAGAGAAGACGCGCGAAGCTGGATATGAGTAAAGTGACAAGACAAAACATTGAGAATTTTGATATAGTTTAAGATAGATTTAGAGTTTTGAAGATTCAACTATGATGAAGAGAACTCTGAACGTGAGTCAAGCTATAAGCTTGTTTTTTGACATGGAGGAGGAGGAGGAGCCTGTGATGTTGCCCTCTGTGTCGTAGTTGACAGAAACTGCTTTGAAGCGTGGCACAGATAAAGACAGAAAAAACAGATTTTTGTACATAATGTGTGTAAATGACCTTTAATATGTTTAACCTTTTGTAGAGGTGGTTATATTTCTGTCCCGATGTTTTCCTGTGGTAAAGTTTTAGTTTTGTACTTTTATTTTGATAGTTATAAGATCCGGACTTTTATTTTTGAAGGGACCTTTGCCGGAAGTGAATAGAGAACGAAGGATTGTAAACAGGTGTAATGACGGATGAATGACGGAGAAATTTACTTCAGATAATTAGTTAGGTTTTTAGCACCTGGCTGATAGGTTTGTTATTACTTTAATTAATATGTGTATTGATATTATGTGGTGTTATTTCGTAGTTTTGCAGAGTTTTGAGTTCACGCTTTTGTATTAGCAAAACTGCTATATAAGGAATGGAGATGTTTTATCTGTGAGATGGTGGCTAATTATTGTGTTTTCTTTCTTTTCTTAGCTCTTATGTTGGTACTTGGCAATTAATGTATACATGCAAGTGTGTACAATAAAAGGATACCATCAGTTTGAGAGTTAGACCATTATTCAGCTGGGGACGCTACAATGTGTACATATATATTTGTATTATATTTATAATAACACTTTTTCCTTATCAGAATGAAATCCCATGTACATTATGTAAGCTTTTAAATGTTTTGTTGTGCCTACTGTGTCACTGTTGACAGAACTTGAGAAATGAGGGGGAAAAGCCTATGGATACACCTGTTATTTGTTCATAAAATGTGCATATAGGTTCATGCTACCTCAATCAAACTTTCACATTATCATAGTGACATCCCATGTATATATTTCCAACTTTCAAATGGTTTCGTTGTGTATGTTTGTGTTACCTATATGAAAAATATAATATCATTTTCAAAATCTGTTTTTACGTTTTTTTATGATTTTGGGTCCAAAATGTTCATATAGTATCTCAAAATGAAATAAATAACTATCAGGTTATATAGGTGAGGTTATCCTTAAAAAAAAGATACCAAACATTGACATGCCAAACATTTCTTAATGGGGTTTAGTAAGACAGTATGCGAAAACGGCCAAATTAGCCCAGGACTCCAAAGGGTTAAACAACTGAACTGTTAAAACAACATCCATAAAATTCATCTGCTACTTAGTAATTATTTATCTATTTCTCTAATATATCATTCCAATAACTTGCATATAGACTCTTATTAATCCGTGTATCTACCGTCCAATTGTTTGTCTTTATTAAACACGTAAACGGAAGAGCGTCTGAGAGGCCTTTTTTCTTTTTTCTTTTTACCTTACTAAATGGTCAAATGGTCATTGGAGCGAGGGGCGGGGCAAAACTCACGGAAGTGATTTCAAAACAAAAGCACTCGTTAGCTAAAATCACACTTTGAATCACTACAGTATCCTGCTGAAGGACCGGTGATTATTATAAACAAGGGGAATTTAGCGATCACAACGAAAACGGCCGGCCAAGACACATATTGAGCCCAGCAAATTAATGTTATTAAGGGCTGTAAATATAATAAGCCTCTGTCTAAAATGGACAACATTGTAGGAGATATAAACTACACAGCGGTTCTGCACTGCGGTCACTCAGCCGTCTCTCGAGTTTGTTTTTTCAAATCAGCTGCTCTTCATTATTCCTGCTATATTTGACGAGTGATACAAATATTTGTTACCACAAGTTCTTAAGGAAACTGACACTGTTGGACTTTGTTCTAGTTTGACTTCTACCAGAAATAAAATGAAGAACTTTTACTGTGTACTTTGTGAGTAATCCTCTGTCAAAGTCCCCTCCATAGTTTTCCATGTTTTTCTGCTATATTTGATGAATGATAAAAATACCATTTTACCATTAGTTCTTAATGAAATTGATACTGTTTGACTTTGTATTAGCCTACTACTTACAATACATTGAAGTACTTTTAATGTGTATTTATTGAGAAATACTCAATCAAAGTCCCCCTGCTGAGAACAAAATTAAGCCACTTCTGCTAAGTTTGATGAGGGAATTCTTTTTTGTTGCCATTAGTTCTTCGGGAGATTGATCCTGTTGGACTCGTTACTAGTGAAACTACCCCCACAAGTACTATGAAGTACTTACTGTGTACTTTTCCAGTAATCCTTTGTCAATGTCCCCTCCTGAGAACAAGAATGCATGTTTTTCTGCTATTTTGAATAAGCGTTAAAAAACCTTTCTTCATGAGACTGATATTGTTGGACAGAGTATTTTAATAGGATGGTAGACTGCACACTGACACACTCTGTCACTCTTGCTGGCCTCTTATGATGCTGCTGTCTTTTAATATATGATTATTTCTCAGCTGCTAGTTCGTCACAGATTCTNAATAATCACCGTTCCTTCAGCAGGATACTGTAGTGATTCAAAGTGTGATTTTAGCAAACGAGTGCTCTTGTTTTGAAATCACTTCCGTGACTTTCGCCCCGCCCCTCGCTCCAATGACCATTTGACCATTTAGTAAGGTGAAAATTAAAAAGCAAAAAGGCCTCTCAGACGCACTTCCGTTTACGTGTTTAATAAAGAAAAACAATTGGACGGTAGATACACGGATTGCTTTGGCACACATATATCATGCGCGTAAAGCCAAATACATTTACTATTTATTTTACTTGTGCACAATATTCACCTCATTAATGGCTCTTTTAGTCTCAGCAAACGTATTAACACACAATCCTGCGTACTACACAATGTGGCAGGCAGATTCAAATTATTATCACTGATCAGAAACATATAAATGCATATATTGCAGGTGATGTATGGAAGTGACATACTGAGGTGAGGGGCAACTGCGACATCTTGTGGCAAACTATAGAGTAAGATGTAGCAGGCGCTCTTGTGCAATTGTGCCACGACCCATTTTCCCCATGCCTGGATTTGTGCAAAGTTTAATACAGCTTGAAAGAGCAGCTTATTATGGTCGTCTTTAGGCAATTCATTGTTGGATAAATAAAGTATTAGATTTCAATAGGACCATGATTGGACCCTAAAAATATACTACCGATCAGTAAGTTACTGGTGGTTTACTCACAAATCTGTCCTGTTGTATTTTGGTAATAGTGCCCTCAGTACAACCTGCAAGGGGACTTTCTTCCCTGTCTGGACCATGGATTTATAAATACGATGTCCTTTAAAATGTCAGGCTGAAACCATTCACCTCAAACTAATCTAAAGCGTCTATAAGCATGTTTATATAACTACTTTACGAGGGGCATCAGCTGAAAGCTAGACTTCGTAAACAGCAAAAGCATACGTGGTAGTGAAGCTTGCCTGAGTTTCTAAACTCAGGGCACAGTTACCCCCAGCTGACAGACCCGCAGCCGGGGGGCAGCACAACAGCCTGCCGTCCTTTGACAGCTCGGTCCGACGTCAGGCTACGGACGACGTGTCAACGACCATTTAACTCTATGACAGTCAGTTTACAATGCAAGTGAGCCATTTGACTTTAGAAAAGGCTCATGTTTAGCCATCTTTATTTATTTAGCTGTTATGCTTGTTAGCTTACTAGCTAGCTCTGTTAACGGTGAACCAGTTAGCAACCAGTTAGCTGGCTCGCAACAGGGATCCTCCCAGCACTGTGATGGATAGCAGTCGTTAGCTACACACTCTCACTATCAATTTGGTAAATATGTTCCTAATTTGAAATGTTTACATTTCTTGATTTAACAAAAAGTTTCCCGCCAGCCCTGTTTGGACTAACAAGCCAGTGTTTTGTGAACGGTTATGTTTGCTTGTCCTTAAGGCTGAGCTATAGCTAGCTGCCTCCATTGTTTACATGGAAACGGTCAGCTGAAGTGCACTGAGGGCATGTGGTGATCGTTACAATACTGGATCAACTACAGAAAAAAACAACGGGGACATATGGAAATGGGGCTGGGAGGTAGCTAACGTCAGCCAGACGTTAGCAAGATCTCTACAGTCTACTCTCCACCTGAATGAGGATGATCGGGGCTTTGAAGGAGGACTGCTGGACTGTTTGACTTTTTGTGGGCGGTGGACAAAGGACAGCAGTTTGTTTGTCCATATTGAAGTTGAAGCTGGAAAACGATTACAAGAGGTTTACAGGCAATACACTCTGCTGGGATGTTGCTGAAAACTCTACTGATCACCAGTTTTCTTGGCTGGGTGAAATGTCAAGACAGCCAGATCATGACACTAGAGGAGAAGACTGTCATCAGGTGAGGACATACAGACATGTATAACCCTGTTTAGATCTGTCTGTGAGTGAATGGCTTTGAAAGTCTCTTCTATATTGTGAAAAATTACAGTGTTCGTGCCATTTTCATTGCATGATTTTGTCCCTATTTCTTTTTGCAGGGACCAGATTCTCGAAATGTTTGATCACGCTTATGGGAGTTACATGGTAAGACTTGGATCGAATCATTGTATTACTGTTAAAGGGAAGTTATAAAAAGCTTGAATAAAGAAAACATTTATAGAAAAGCACTACTTTATTGTGTGAGAGTAACATGCTTTGGAGTTAGATTAAGGTCATTCTGTTTAGGAAAGCTTTAATCAGGGGCTGACAACGCAGTTGTGTCAGATTTTGTGAGATTGTGAAGAAAGCCAACATGCAGGATTATGTTGCAGCTGCAGTGTCAGAACATTCTGATTCAGTTTTGTGTCAGGGATTACACAGTTGTCTTCCTCGGGTCCTAATCAGGATTTTCCCTACAGAACGAAAGCAATGACAGCCAGCCAGAGATGATTGGGTCAGGGTTGGCTAGATCCATCAAGTGGTTCAAAGTTCAGGCAGAATTAGATATAGAGAATATGCTCCCAATAGGCTGCATGTTGACCCTCAAACTCAATGATTGGAAAGCTCAATTCAGTAGCCAGTAAAATGTAGGGCAAACGATGAGTGAAAAAAACCCTGACTTTAACAAAACATTTTTATGTTGAGCAACCAGTCATGCCAACATTAATTACACTGTAATCTGAGTTTTTCAATTATAACTGTATTGTAATATTATATTTTAACTGTACTATGTATTATTTTATTGACCTGTACTTAAATTATGTTTTACATATCTGGCATAATTAATCTCTTCTCTTTTCTGAGATTATTGTATTTGTATGCATGTTCCTTGTTGAAATACATAATAATGTACCAATAGTGACCCAGCGGTTGTGTTTAGCTTCAAGTTGCCAGGGGCTTTTCCCTCTTAAAGAATTTGCAACACTCCAGCCATCTTTTCCTAATGACACCTTACTGTTGGCTGCTTGATGAAGTTGAAGGCAGCTTTTGTTGTTTGTGTTTCAGAAAAATGCTTATCCAGCAGACGAGTTGATGCCTTTAAGCTGCCGGGGGAGAGTCCGGGGCCAGGAGCCCAACAGAGGGGATATAGACGACTCTTTGGGGAAGTAAGTTGGGTTACATTTCCTCAAGCTAACAAGCCATGTTCTTTTTAATCAATCAGTTTTTAGAACAAATCTATCCACTAAAGTTTATCATGTACTCTAACTGTCTGCAATGCCATATCTCTTTAGAGCTTTCTTCATAGAGATGTGCCACAGTTGCTTTTTAATCTCCTTGTTGATTGTAAAACTACCCAAATATGTGTGCTTGTTTCAAGTTAATATATATCTGTCCAGCCCTTTGCCTTCTTTCAAGATTCACTCACCACTGAGAATGTTAAAGAAAGCAATAGATTCTAAAAAGAAAAATACGCCTCGGGAGTTTCAGCAATTTTGAATCCACATTCCTATTTTAATTGTAGGACATCCAAATGTAAAGATTTGATCAAAGTCAAGTGAAGATTTAAGTGTTTCCCGTTATTATTATTTATACATTAAAAAGAACATACTATTTAAAAAAATAATTGATGCAGATTATTTATTTGGTGATAAATTACTGGATATGAAGTCCAAAATAAGTTTTCATGGGAGGAATTGGGTAAGTGGAATATAGATTCCACACAAAATGTGACATTTATGTAATTTCTTCTCATCCTAAAACAGTGTTTCACTTTTTCAAAGAAGAAAATGACTAATTTCATTTAGTAATACCATGCTGTTTCAGACAGACTTAATTCAACTTGGACTGTATGCCCCAGTTTCTCAGGAACACATGAATACGATACTCATTTCAGTCAATTACATTTACAGGATGGCAATAAGTCATGAACTTGCAGTGGAATACTTCCATTCATGCTCAAGCCAAGCTGCATAATATAATTTCACAGTTTATTCAACATGTTTGGCATTTATTAGTTAAAATTAGGCTAATTTAGTGGCAAAGTGGGACACCAGCTCCCCCGTGCTGACTCCCATCACAACATGTCTTCCTTCTTTTCCGCAGGTTTTCTCTCACACTGATAGACACACTGGATACCCTGGTGGTGAGTACTCCCTCCCTAGAAACATCAGAGTAGTTGGATTTCATTGAGTTTTGGAGTCTTATTTCTCGCCATGCTCTTGTTTTCTTCCTTGTCTTGACATGAGTTGTATCTGTTCCTGTCTGTGTGTGAGCAGGTGTTAAACAAGCTGGATGAGTTTGAGGATGCAGTGAGGAAGGTTGTGACGGATGTGCGGCTGGACAACGATGTGGTGGTGTCGGTGTTTGAGACCAACATCAGAGTTTTAGGGTATGAAACATGTCTTTTTAACTGTCTACATCCACTTCTTAGATTAGTCTTTACAACATCTGCGTGAAGCAGAATGTTTTGGATAATTATTCCTGATGTATAATTAAATCCCATATCACAATTACTGGTCAGAAATGTTGTGCTGTATATCATATTTCAACCTATTCACCCCAAACTCTTAAATGCAATTTTAAAAGGAAAACCTTCATTTCCTTGTTTCATGTAATTCTCCCCAGAGGGCTTTTGGGAGGCCACGTGATGGCCGACCTCCTACAGCAGCGCGGGGAGAGGATGCAGTGGTACCGCGATGAGCTTCTACACATGGCCAAAGAGCTGGGCCATCGATTACTGCCTGCCTTTAACACCACAAGTGGCCTACCTTACCCTAAGGTATTTCTAATGATACTGTTAAATATCACAAGTCTTATTCTAGATGTAGTTCATTGCAATCAGTGCACCACAGATGAACTGATTTGCATCATGGTGCTTATTTCGTAGGTAGCTAGTTTTTTTTTCAAGAGCTTCGAGTCGACAAAAATGTTCTACTAAAAGTGACAAGATTAATGTTTTATTTTCTGGTTTTCCAGGTGAATCTGCGGTATGGAGTCCTGAACCCCCTTTCACGCACAGGCACAGAATCGGACACCTGCACAGCGTGTGCTGGAACAATGATCCTGGAGTTTGCTGCTCTCAGCAGGCTGTCAGGGGAGTCTGTGTTTGAGGTATTATCTCACTCTGCCTCTATAGAGATGTTTTGTATTATTGTGTAACACGCCCTTTTTGTTGAAATAACTGAGACAAAAGAATAAAGTATAGGCGTTGAGGATGGATTAAAAATATGAATGATTGAACTGTTTCTACCATACGCATTTTAAACATGTGGGGCTTCTTATTGTTTCACAGGAACATGCGAGGAAGGCTCTGGATGTCCTCTGGCAGAGGAGACAGAAGGGAAGTGACCTAGTGGGGACTGTTATCAATATCCACAATGAAGAATGGGTCCGGAGAGGTGAGGCAATCATTTCCTTTAGACAAGAAATGAAAACTAGAACTTTAATTACTTTTACATCCACAAAATAGTTTGGATTTGCCCTAATTTCAAAACAACACAATTCCTACTTTCTTTTTGTTTACATGAATAATGAAGAGGAATATTTCACTTATATTCAGGGTTACATACAGCTGGTAGTAAACATAGCATGTCTCTTTATTCTCATTTTGAAAAGGTTAGAGTTGTGCTACATGCCTAAAAACCTGTTGATATCCAAGCCTTTTCTAATTTTTGAAGTCAATGTGTCAAACCAGAAATGTGCATATTAACAAAGTTAGTGAGGAATAAAAACATAAACCTATTCTACTGCTTTTTAAGTGAACCATAATTATTTCTCGTATGTGTTTGCAGAAAGCGGAGTCGGTGCTGGTATCGACTCGTACTATGAATATCTGATGAAGGCCTACATTCTTCTGGGAGACAATGTCTTCCTGGAGAGGTTTAACATTGTAAGTCCTCCATCACTGTACACCCACATAGAAATCTATACCCAGGCCTTTGGCGCCTGCTGTATTGTACTCCCTGCTGACACATAATTGGCCCTTTTGTCGGTGTTAATATATGTTTCATGATGTTTGTCTGTAACAGCACTACAGTGCCATTATGAAGTACATCAGTCAGCCCCCCCTGCTGCTCAACGTCCACATGCACAACCCCACTGTGAGCGTGCGCAGCTGGATGGACTCTCTCCTGGCTTTCTTCCCCGGCTTACAGGTCAGAGATCATCCATTAATCACATTTACCACCATTGAATCACAGAAGGGGTCCGTAGAACTGCACACGTGTCTCTGGAGTGACATTCATTTTTCACACAGGTTTTGAGAGGGGATCTGAAACCAGCTATTGAGACTCATGAAATGCTTTACCAAGTGACCAAACAACACAAGTTCCTTCCAGAGGTAAAGGATCTCTGCGCTTTTTGCTTAATTAACGGCATATAGTAGGTATACTATAAAGGTAACTAACTATGTATTAAACTGAACACAACAAGAGCTAAGAACAGTAACCAGATGGGAATGTCTGCTATTGGCTTTCTATTGAGTTGAATCAGACAATTTAAGGTACTTAAACATGATATGACATGACATATATTGCCTTTAAACATTCTTTCTCATTTCAACACTGCCTGCAATTACCCAATGTAAGTATAGATATTAAAAAACCTTACATTTTAATATAAAAAAAAACTCGACTTCTAAAAATGTATATCATATCACACATTTTCAGCACTCTAAGATATAGTTTTTATGTCTTGATATAACAGATAAAAAAATATCGAATGGAAATGTATTTATATCTTCTTTGTCCTATTGTATGAAATCTGTACTTTCTTAGAAGAGGCCTGTTTCACTTTTGCTTTCTCTGCTTAATCTCCTGCAGGCATTCACCTCAGAGTTCAGAGTTCATTGGGGCCAACACCTTCTGAGACCAGAGTTTGCAGAAAGCACCTACTACCTCTATAAGGTGACAGGGCAGTGCCATAAACAACTTAAATGACCTTTAAGTGGATGAAACTACTACACTTTGGCACTATATACACTCATATTTAAATGTCTGCAGGCCACTGGCGACCCCTACTACCTCAGAGTGGGACAGTCCATCGTGGAGAAGCTAAACGCCTACGCCAGGGTGCCTTGTGGGTTTGCTGCCGTGCAAGATGTCCGCACTGGGATGCATGAAGACAGGTAAACAAATGCCATTACACATGCTTCATATGTAATAGCAACTTTAGTTTGGTGTTAGCTGTTGTTATGGAAACTCAAAACATCTGTTATGAACATGCAATAACATCATATGTTTTCTGATGTGTAGGATGGACTCCTTCTTCCTGGCTGAGATGTTTAAATACCTGTACCTGCTGTTTTCGGAGAAGAGCCAGCTGCCGATCGATATCGACGACTACATTTTCACCACAGAGGCCCACCTACTCCCAGTGTCCCTCTCCATCACAAAGCCCCCCTATCAACGCAACCACACTGTAAGAATGATCAAGTTATATGAACACTAAAAATTACACCTCATATAGCTATTTTAAATTCTAAATATCTAATTTATACAAGTTGCTGGTAGATTCAATCATGACAAGGACATTTTAACTGTGTATGAATCAGTTATTATAGGAGTTAATGTCACAAGTAATTGAATAGTAGTTTTTATTTATTGTCCTAAGCAATACTGTTTATTGTTGACAACTACTGTGAACTGAGCAGCTGTCGGTCCTGTTCCTCAGGAGACTGTTCCTCTTTCCCAAGAAGAAGACCTGTTCACACACTCCTGCCCCAGCATGGAGACGTTATTCCCCAACAACCCCTCGTTTGCTAAAACCATCCGGGACAGCTACAAGTACCTCACCGGGGTGGGACGAGCCGTCCACCCTGTACCTGTCAGGTTTGGGACTTTTTAAAGTGAAATCCTCAGTGAAAACGTTTTTTACCTTGATTACTTTGAGTGTTAACTTATGTGTGTTTTTACTTTACAGGGAAATTGACCTCCCGTTCCATGACAATGGGATGGAACCAGTAGAGTTCTTGAAAAGCATGGGCATTTCTCTCACCCCGCTTAATGAGGTAATGGGAGGAGACAGTGTTCGAATGGTATTTCGTATAGACCTCAAAAACGTTATGTTATGAAAGCAAAACATATTCTTGGCATTATAAGAAAACACAGAATTTCCTTGGGAGAGTTTCTAAATATGAATCCCTTTCAGGACCATAAAGGCGTTTACCTGGTCAAACTTGTAGCAGAGGTGAGCCAAGCACTGGAGGAAGAGGAGGTGGTGCCCCATGTTGTTCAGCTCATATCCCCCCCATTTCTGGGTAGGACAGTCATCACAGCGGGACCTGCCAAGTTTGGGATGGACCTAACCAAGCAGGAGCACGGGGTGAGCTTCTAGTCACTATAATAAGATGTATAAAAGGGAAAATGGCAAGCAAGATCAAAATACAAACCACTTACTGCCGTGCAGCCAAAGAGACAGAGATGTAAATTTTAAAAAAAACTACAAATAACATGCAATAACATACTCTTTTTCCTCAGGTGAAGGGCAGCATAGCGAAAGCCTCCCCCTACACTGCATGTGTGCCAGTAGATAATGCAGCGCAGCTTAAAGGGCATATTGCCGTGGCGCTGCGTGGGGACTGCATGTTCGCTGTGAAGGCTCGTCATCTGCAGGAAGCAGGAGCCATAGGAGTCATCTTTATAGGTGGGGACAAATACCAGATTACCACATATATTCTTTAAGTCCACCTCAAAGGTAATAGTGGCTATTAAATACTGACTTGGTCCTCAAAAAGACACCATCGTTCAAATTGCTCCCTTATTCTTTTTCCTCAGACCACCATGAGGGAAGCAACAGTCAGGATACGCCCCTCTTCCAAATGGTTGGAGACGGCGACTCCACTGAAGATCTCACCCTGCCTTTAGTCTTCCTCTTCAGCCAGGAGGGGGCCGTACTCACATCCGCTCTGAAGGAGAATCACAATGTGGATGTGCTGCTGCTGCCCAAAGAGAGGCAGCTGGGACATGGTGAGGAGCATGGAGACAGATATTATAACAGTCAAAATACATTGGTCATTCTTAAAGCAACACTTCAAGCAACAAGGAGAAATATGCAAAGACCTGTTTGAGTCTTAATAGCTATTAAGGCCAAAGATCGCCATTTCTAGTAGTCAATCTATAGGTCTGAGCTAGTTCTGGTTAGCCATTTTTATACGTTTTCATGGAAAAGGTCAATAGTTCTGATATATTTTCCCGGGCTTGAACTCTAGTGAGAAGGATGGGAGGAAGATTAAAGAATAAAAAATGTATACTTTCCTACTTTAACAAGATTCAGAAGGAGCACTGCTATCCCAGCTAACACAATTACATCAAATCTTAATTCCTCTCGGTGGTCTTGTTCTAATTTTGCATATCATTGGCCCTCATTGTGCAGGTAAGACAGAAAAACCTGCCGGCATGAACATCAAACTCCGCCTGGCAGAGGAGGGGGAGCTGGAGGACGGAGCAGCCAGAGGGCCCACCCTGGAGTTTGTCTTGGAGAAAGATGGGATGATTCTTAAGGAAGTGGAGCAAGAAGCACAACACAAACAATTCTGCATAGAAGCCACAGAGGAGGACAGAACTGAACCATATTCAGCAGATTCCTCTCAAAACACAAACTCAAACAGCGCTCCAGACGCAGAGCCTTGAAGACTGCTGATCCAGAAGCAGTTTCCTAACACTGATCTCTCGTCAGTTTCTCAGAGCCCCTCACTGCCCTACACAGAGCCCGAACTGACCCCGCCTGCATGTTTACAGAGGAGAGTAAAGCAGTGTGACGGCCATCTTCTCTTCCTGTCGTGACTTTGAAACCTAAATATGGTTTATCACACAGAGAGACAACGTGGGGCTTTTATTTTATGTGGTGCAGATCTCTCTGGAATGAGGGATGAAATTAGACTAAAATTGGTAATTTAAGGCCAAAAGCTGTAGGTTAGGATGCCTGTAGTGTTGCTATTGTAGGCACATACAGTACATGGTGGTTGTGATGCTAATGACACGTAAATAATAGAGTAAAATTACTTCAGTTTAGAGGGAAATATAGATAAGGCCAAAATGCACTTAGCTAGGTTTTTTTATGAAATGCAGTTGTTTTTTTAGTGCACCTTTTCACTTCGATGACTACTGTTAAATATTCAGTGGTGGAGTATTACCTGGCCACTAGGTGGTGTTAGCTGCCGTAGATGCTCAATAGGCGCGTTCACACCGCAGTACTTTTCCCACAAAGGTTCATGAGAACACCGGAATAAGTCCCTGAGGGAGGATTAGGCAAATGAAGCCGCTGTCGTCACTTCTTCTTCTTCTTCTGCTTTGGGTTTACTGGCAGACCGCAAACAACTTCACGGCGTATACTGCCACCCGGAGTCCCCGGCCGGAAGTCCCCGGAGTTGGGGAAGGCTTCAGTAGCAGCTGCTGGGAGTCCCAGCAGCTTCTGCTGAAGCCTTCAGCGTAAATCGCCAGAACGCCGACACCTCCTCATCTCCACCGCTCCCATATTTTCTTTTGTGTTGCCATAAGTTAGTCTCTCTGCGTTTCTGCGCTGGGCTAATGCTAACGCTAATAATGCAATGCAAGGATAATAAAATGGCGGCTTCACAAAACTTTTTGGGAGTTTTACGGGGCGTGGTTTGCATTCCGCCCAGCCAATCAGACATATAGGAACCTTTTTCTCCCACGGAAGTACCTGCTCTCTAGCCTGTCTCTAGCAGGGACTGAAAAGGGGGTGAAAAGGTTCTCATGAACTAATTTTAGTTCCGGCTCTTTTTGGTGTGAACGCGACATTTCGGAACTATATCGGAACTAAAGTGGGAAAAGTACTGCGGTGTGAACGCGGTTTATAATACAATAATAGATGAACTGGGGCCAATTTGGGACGTTTATTTTTTATTGTGTACTTTTAAGCAACTTCAGGGAATTTAAAGAGTGAATGCAATTTGCCAGGTTGACCTATTGATGGTGTGTGTGTGTGTGTGTGTGTGTGTGTGTGTGTGTGTGTGTGTGTGTGTGTGTGTGTGTGTGTGTGTGTGTGTGTGTGT